TATGAGCTTTTCGTCGGGGAAAACGGAACTGTCCGTAATATCGGGGTGTCCGTATTAAGCGGGTGTCCGTAGAGCGGGGTTCCACTGTATATACCACACAAGTGAATAGTGCTTTTCGCGCGCTCTGATTGCTTAACTCGGAGGTGATTAGCAAGTACTATTCACCTCCGAGCAGCCGGCGAGAGAGATTTTAAAATTTCCGAACGCTTGTTACAGATGAAATAACGTTTTGGTCCGCTAATTATTCAGCTTGTGTGGTACATACTAAAACAATTATTCACCTCAGTGTCGGTGAAAGTGATGGATATTTACCTCCACTTCGGTGAATAATTGTTAAACATTCCCCAATTTTCTAAACTGCGCGTGTTGTAAAAAAAATTTGAAGGAGTTGCTGGTACAGTGGAACCTCGATTTAACGATGAGCCGAGGGACTTGGGAAATGGGTTCGTTATACCGAGGGTTCATTGTATCCAACACATCTAAAATAAATATAAAAATGTTAGTCACGGTTACATCGAGGTATAGTAAACAATTGTTTTTTTCCTTATGTGAAGCTACAGTACACTGTACAGTAGCTACAGCACCGCAAAACTAAACAGGTCAACAAAATTTTAACAATTGCAACTTACTTGTCGAATTCATGAAGGTCGACACGCACGAGGGGACCAGTCCCTGGGACCAGTCCCTGGAACTAGTCCCCTGAAGAGTTTACACGAAGGAACTGGTCGCAGGGACTTGTCCCACGAACAGTTCACACGAAGCGTTTTGAGGAACAAGTCGCAGGGACTTGTACCAAAATTTCAAACTGGTTTGAATTCGTGGGACTAGTCGCAGGGACCAAACTTTGGTCCCTGCGGCTAGATTTTTAAGCCAAAATGGCTGGTTTATACGATGGGACTTGTAATGAACAGCGTAACAACTGAAAACGTAAACAACAGAAAACTACTTTACTTTACTACTTGTCTGCATACGAGCCAAGTGGCCCATTACGCCGGGGCTTATCCTGGTGTTTGTAGCATGAAGTGACTAGGGGTAATATTTGCNTACCCATTTATACAGCTGGGTGGAGGCGGAGAGGCACAATGAGAGCAAAGGGTCTTACTCAAGAACTCAACGCAATGTCCCCAGCCAGGGCTCAAACCCGGACGGCTCGATTCGGAGACGAGCGCGCTAACCATGAGGCCACCGCGCCTAAGGCGGAACGCAACGGAACGCAACGCTATTGAAAAAAAAAAAGGTTTCTGTAGCATGAAGACGTACTAAAATTGCTCGATCAAAACGTTATTCCATTTAAGATTGCCTCATTTTCTGTCATCTGTTAAACTGCGTCCTTCATTGAAGAGATCCCTTTCTTTTGGATTTGATTTGTCAAATGTCATAATGAACATCATCAGCGTGACACAACTTAAACAACAGAAAACTACTGTTCTGTACTACTAAAATTGCTAATTCAGTCCCACCTCTGTCTATTTTTGTTTGTTTTTTTTGTCACGTGTTGACATTTCTTCGTTGTACCGGGGTATATCATACGTCTGGACTTCTGGATTGTGTTCCGTTATGACGTCAGGATTTCGTTATATCGAGGTTCTGTTCCATTTATTTCAATGTAACTTCGGCCGGGCTCAAGAAGAAGATCGCTTGTTATGCCGAAGACTTCGTTATACAGAGGTTCGTTAAATCGAGGTTCCACAGTACTTGATGCAACCTTAGCGGAAATAAAATTGGGCAAAATTGATTGAACTTGGACAAGGATATTTTTTGCTTCATCACAAGTTTCGTTGATTTTATAGCAACAAACTGAGAATGATAAACTGTACGCTTGACTACATATTTCGGAATCGAAACCTTTAAAATACGAACGTTAGAACAGACACAAAAGCCTTTTCTCGCTACATCAGTCAGGTGCTTTGAAAAGGTAAAATTTATATTCCGCGATCCTGAATTTTATATTTCCGTTCCAAGATTCCTGCCTATGCGTTCGACGTCCTTGCTTACTTCCGGTTTGTACGGGTACAAAGTCATAAATGGAAGAAACATTTTAAAAGCCCTTTGACTACGAGAAAATACTTTGAAGTCATATTTTATAATACTACCTCTAGAAGAGAAGCATTTCTTTTTCTCGATATTGCTATTCAATTTCTTGCTATTACATTCTGCAATCCGAAATATATTTTTTTCCGATCCAATATTCCGGCTTAAGTATTTTCTGTTTCTAGAAATGCCCCCGGCCACCTTGTTTTCTTCCGGTTTGTACGGGTACAAACTCATTAGTTGAAGAAATATTGAACCTTCGACTCCGAGAATATAATTCTTTCTCTGAAATTAGAGAGAAACCATTTCGTATTCTTGCTATTGAACTTTTTCCTATCCGAAATCGACCACAGAGCGCTGATTTTATCTGGAGTCGCAAGGAATGAATCGAAAGAGATTTTCTACTCGCTGTCACTCGCTAGTCAATGACGTGATGGGGCTATACTTATCACAGAGCAGGCTCCAAGTGCTTCCGCTTTGGATGGGTACAACTGAGCGACAACTTGGACTACGAACACTCAGCCAATCAGAGGACAGTATTCCAAATTTTAACCAATCACGATGGAAGAACTACTTTGGAGACACTTCGTTATTGTACATGAAGTGTCTTTAGCTCTTGTGCTTTCAGTAGGTTGCTTTCAAATTTGCGAGCAGTTAGTGGAGGTCGAGTTAGCGAAGAATTTGATGAAAAGCTTTGAAATTTTGTGCAGTTCTTCTTCTGATCTGGCATGCCGAAACCTGTGGCTGGAGTCGCAGAAGGTAAGCTTGTTTCTCGTTTACAGGGTCAGTTTTACCTTGATTTACTTGTTATTTTGAATTTTGTGTCATCCTCAGCGAAAATGAGCTTACTAAGCTTATTTCAGTTTGGACAGTTAGAGTGGTGCAATACCTTTCCTTAAATCTCATAGTATATATGTAAATAAAACAAATTAACTTTACAGCATATGGTCAGATCATTTCCTCTGTCGAAAACACTTTCCATTTCTCAGATTCGCGGTTTCATGCACCCGGTAAGCTTGGAAACGAAAGAACACGCTCTACTGAAAATATGGTTTGTTGACCGTAAACGTTTTGGGGCATAGATTATGTCTTGGAAATTCTTTACTGCGTAAAAAGTATTCTAACAAGAGTGGAGATTACTGAACGAACGTCCACGTATGAGAAGTGTAATTTTTTAGTAATGAAATATCGACTTACTTTGTACTGTAGTAGTATTTTAATTATTATTAATTGACGCGGACCAAATTTTTAAATGTTGAAATTTTAAGAGAGCTGGAATGTACCAATGTGCTGCTGTCATGAACTTTGTAGTCAGGAAATAAACAGCTGCAGTCAGTTGTTTTCTTCAATGTGTTGAGCCATTAGATTACTTATTTTGAAACTTGTAAACTATGTGTTATTGAACAAAAGGCAGATCATGACTGTACTAAAGGCATCCACGGCTTAGTGTCGATCAATACCCTGGACCGATATCCTCAATCAACATCTCGATCGGTACTTGATTGGCATCCTGATTGATACACAGTTGAGACTCTGTGGACACTTGATCAGCACCTGAACATTACAGTCAGTTGATAGTCAGCCAATTAAGTGTCAACCGACTCATATGCATCAATCAAAAATTAATTGACTGTCAACTGAGATTACAATGGATTGTTGATTGAGTGTCAACAGAGGTGTCGATGGAGTGTTGATCTAGAGTCGATGGAGGGTATCAATGGAGGGTATCAGTTGACACACGACTGGGGATGCCTTTGGTACAATTGTACACATGATCCCAGGAGGCTGTCTGATGTTGTATTGCTCCTAATGAGACCCTTCCCTGGTAACTTATTTAGGACACGAGGATGCCAGTGGCAATGGAGTTTATTGCTTCATTCGAGACTTGATTGTTGAAGGAAGAGATGCGAGATTTGTGAACAAAAAGGGACGCTATGTAATCAACTGGTCCAGAGCCCTCAAGTGTTACCACGATTACAAGTCCAAGAAAAACCCTCAATATAAGAGCAAGAATATCAACAGAAGAAAGGCCAGTAACGGTTTGAGGGCAGCCCTTCTTAATTTCTATAAAAAAGAAGGAGCTAAAGAGTACAAAGACTGCAAAAAAGTCAACGAAAAAGATGAGGTTGTTGAACGACAGTTTCAGATGCCACCCAGGGTGTTTGAATCACTGTTTGGATCCGATGTACAACTTTCTGATGATAGCAGTGAACATGAGACAAGCAGTATTGCCTCAGAGGTATTCTCAATTAAATAACATTTATAACAATAAATGCATCTGTAAATTGAAAACTTAAGTGACGATTTAATTGATGCTTCCATTGATTACAAAAATATTACATGTACATTAATTAGTAATAACAAAGAATTTCTAAGAAAATTACTAATCTATATGTATAGTCTATATACACTTGATTGAAAAAAATGTTGTTAAACAAGGGTATAGACCATAAACAATACAACTTTAAAAAGACTGGAAAAGGGTTTGCGTTATCATGAATATGCAAGATTGTTTCCTTGTGGCATTTAATAATCACAGGTCAGCTGACCAAAGGGGTGATTTAGGAAAACTTGGAAACTGCCCATGCCTTCCTAAACGTAGCTAAGTTAGTAAACAAAAGAAAATTCGAATGCTAATGAGAGCTTTGAGATATGCCCAAGTTTGCAACAACAACAACAACAACAGACTTTATTTCTCAACAGTAGTTAGTGAACACCAGGTCCGTTTTAATGCATGTCCGTAAGAATGTAAAGTAGTATTAGTTGTAATCGCAAGTTTCCCAGAAAACCATGTTACTGTATTGTATTGTTTATGGTCTGTACCTTTTTCATGAACTTTCTTCAATTAGGTGAATACCACCAGCAATAATTTATGCAAGCCATGTGAATTTTTGAACCTAATGGAATATTAGCATTTTAATTTTCCTGACAGAGACACCTCAGAGAAGTTTTTGCATACATAATTATGTAAAATAAATCGTTAGTTTGTAGTGTATGTTGTTTATAGCAAACTATTTCAAACAAATTTTTTTATTCGGACACAGGCTGATGAAAAACCTCTAGCCACTCCTAACTCAAGTGATACTGGATTTGATGAAGCTATGGATATTTCTGATGGTAAGAACTCTAACANGGGGGGATTGCTAAGAAAGCTGAAGATAAGTGCTGGACTGATGGTTCACTATGAATCGTATCTAAACAAAAGGGCATTAATTTTGGGGTTATTAAATTTGGCTACGTGGACAATTTCTGTTTTGCTTTGGTCATGATATACATGTACATGAAGCCTTTGTTTGAAACTTCTCTTTTGTACAGAGACTCAGTAAGAGGCATTTTTAATTGGTGGTATCTGTATTGGGCTGAAGTTATATTGTAGAGCCTTTACTATGAGCAAAGTATGGGGAGCAGGGCTGGCACAGTGGTGAGAGCGCTTGGCCCTTCCACCAATGTGGCCCAGGTGCAATTCTGGCCTGGTGCCATATGTGGGTTGTGTTTTTTGTTGGTTCTGGCCTTGCTCTGAGGGTTTTTCTCTGGGTTCTCTGGTTTTCCTCCCTCCTCAAAAACCAACATCTCCAAATTCCAATTCAACCAGGATAGAGGATGTGCCTGAAAACCAGCTAAGGCTGATCTTGCTTCCTCTCTAACTTGTAATATTGTCATTTAAGCCTTGCCTGGCTCTGTCCATGTGTTCTTGGGCAAGAGTTTGTTGTTAGCAGTTATCCGATTGGACTAGTGGGCTTTTGATTGACTGCTACAAACTATCTCTGGTCAGGAGCGAACATCTTTCCATAATAATTATTACAAGACTTTCACAAGAATTGCTTGATGTAATTATACAACTTAGTCAGTTTACAATGTCTTAATTAAATGTTCAGTTATTTACTTGTAAACCTTCTTTTTAAGATTTATTCAATGCAAATGCAGAACCAAGCAGTGAGTGTGCTCTTGGGGGTTTGCCAACTGGTGATCCACTTTGCAGCAATGTCAAAACTGAAGAAGACCAAGTTGCTCCTTCAGACATCACCACCCCTTGTCAGGTATATGAATTTTGGAAAATTTATTTTCAATTGGCACTCTGCATCTTTGGTATATAATACCACTGTACAATGCCAAGTTGCCATAATGTGTACTTACAGTAGTGCACAGTCTAACTTGTAATTTTTACCATTTGGAGCAAGATACTCAAAAGATATGTATTCATGTTATAAAACTTGTCACAAAAAGAAAATTATGTGTAAACTTAGTTTTTCCGGATTTTAGGATCTCTCACAGTCACTGTGTGCTTAATTCATGCACTCAAGAGATAAGCAAGACTTGTCAACTCAATTTGGATACATGCATGCATCTGTGTGCATGTAATAACTTGGAAGTGAAAATTTAAAACTTTGCGACAACCAGTTGCCGTGCTGACAATATTTTTGATGATGATGATTCATGATGATTTACAAGTAATCATACTTTGTTAAAAGAATGTGTTGATCTGATTGTTTTTCAAATGAACCACAAAGAATGGATCTCTGAGAGAGCGGTGTCAGCAGCTTGTTTATCCTTAAGCTTAAGGTTTCTTTTACCTTTTAAGTAAGGTCTGACTTGATGTGTGTTCTGTTTTATATCTCGTCAGATGTTTGATATTTCTGAAGAGGAACTGGATTTGGCATTAGAGGAAATTTGCTCTAGTTCAGAGACTAATGACATTGACCTGCTGGGAGGTACAGTGTCCAGTGTATTATTTGTACTTGAGTTATAGTGTATATTTAAAAAAAACAGAGAGTTGCCTTGTGATTTCTTTGTTTAGTTTTCTCAATCAACATTTTGATCAATACTTGGCTGACATTAGATTGACACTCCTGCGACAACTTGGTCAATGCTCGGTCAACACTCGATTGACAGTCGGTCAATAATTGGCCGAGTATCATCCAACTCATATGTATTGATCGACACTTGATGACATGTCTGCAAAAATTAGTCGACTCTCGACTGATGGTCGACTGAGATGTTGATCATGTGTTGATCGAGATGCCAATCAATTGTCAATCAAGGGTTGATTGATGGTATTGACAGCTGACACTCGACTGCTGTTGCCTCTGGTACACGTTATCCATTTTTTTTATTATCACTAATTGCAAAGGTATCATTTAATTAATAATTTATGTTGTATTATTGCAGTGGTGCATGACATCTGCCCTTCATCTGGCTCTGTGAAGGTAATCATACATTGAGTTATATGTTCACCTTTGTCCTCTGAATTGGGGGATGGGGTCCAAACAGTGGGGAATCTTGGGTCATAACCTCAATATGATTGATTACCTGAATAGTGAGAGAACTTCTAGTATTGTTTTAATAATATTATGATAATTAATAATATTATGTACTTATTGACTAAGTGGGAGGGCTGGACGGGAAAATATTAATTTTGTCTCGAGGTCAGGACATATGGACTGAGTACAGTGAGGTCCGTATATCCTGACTGAGAGCCAAATACCTTCCAGTTTGGCCCGACCTAATTAACTAAGTCAATAAGCATTTTATCATATGACCTGAAAATTTTGAAAATTCTGTTTGAACCTAAAAAGAATGCGATTACATGACATCAGACAGCCGTGCGTGGAACAACTACAATTAAGATTTCACAGTCAAAACTTGTCATTTATTTCTTTGCGTTGAACAAGAAACTCTCAATTCATCGAAAAACATGACTTGTTTTCTCATTTTTGTTTTTCAATGTAAGTCCTCAATTACAATTCATGCTAATGGGATTGGTTAACCTGTTTAAAAACCAACAGAAAGTTGACATAGAGCTGTCAAAAATATGTCAAAACCATCAAAAACTTAGCGAGTGACAAAAGTTTGCTTCGCTAACTATGATGCTTCACTGAAATTGTTCACAAATCTTCTTTGTCGGAAGACTCAAGAAAATGTCAGCATCATTTCAAGTGATTTGTCAATGTCTTGGATTCTCTTGAACAAGGGAGAACCAGCAACTAAATATTATTGACATGGATGTTGGCTCCCACAAACAATGTCAGGGTTTGCTGACTTTGCTGGCTTTGCTGTGTAGTGGAAATTACAGTCTATTAAACACAAGCAAGTTTTATTATCTGGATGAACTGTACGGTAATGAACTTGTGTTCATACTCAGTTTTGTCTTTTCAAACAACATTAATGTTGAAACTGCTGAGCAATTTATCCTACTGTACACAAGGTATGTTTGTGATTTCTCTTCTCCCACTCGAAGAAAACATTTTTATATCGTACACGTACTTTGTTTTCTTCGTGACTAATGCCGGTTTTCCTGCTTTTGATCCACGATCAATTCTTTGATGCTTTCCACTTAAAGAAGTTTCGCCTCAAGACTGTTTACTTATTTGAAGGTTAATTATCGAACAATTCATCCGGAAAAGTTGTTTTCTTGACCGCCTGTTTGCGTGTTGTTGGCTTCTGAGAAAGTTTTGAACTTCTTCAGTTGTGTGGAGTGTTGACGTTCTTTCTTTGCTTTCAGAGTGAGTTGGCGACTGAAGTATTTTTGCCAGGGCTCGAAAAATATTTGAATTCCACCTTGCCCATTGGGCAAGTAACTCTCAAATTTTGCTTGCCCAAGGCACTTCCCCGCTTGCCCAAGTTTTCAAACTCATTAATGATTCATGAACCCAAAAATGGACAAACTACAGGCGTGTTTTAACGTAATACGTGTAAACTCATCTTGACTATAGTCCTTAGTGCTGATCACTTTCATGTTTACGCCATTATATTGTAATACTTCCACAACTTTTAACTTCTTCATTACGCTTTTATGGCGTCAAATTCAACTTTCCCTGGAATTTTCGAAATTGTCATCAGGAATTAAATTTTGTCCCACAGCATCTTTTGCAGTGCATCCCAGTTGAAGAAACAAAGTTTGTGAAGTTGTAGTTGTTGTTGCAGTAGTTGTAGTTCATTGTTACACTGCCTTGAATCAATTTGATCAATTTGTCGAAGATCGTGTTTGACTCCTTGAATGTTCACCTGCATCTTGTCTAGCTCCACAAAATCATTGTGAAGAGAAGTGCGAGAAATTTATAACACACAGAATTAACAACAAGTCACCTCCCCACTTCAGTTTTGACACAGGCACAGTGTCGAATTTGAAAAGCTGGCGAGAGCATAATTTTTCATTTGGTTGAAGGAAAAATAGTTTCAGTTGAGGGAAAACATCTTCGTTTGAAAGAAACACTATTTTAAGTCATCTTCCAGGAACTCTGAAAGTATTTTGATGACTTACTTATCCATTTCTTTTTAATAATATAATACTTTTCATTTCGCGCAGCGGCGCCCAAGTAAGTTATCACTGGCAAACTTGCATGTTCGCCGAAAACAGAGATTTACCTAGATTTTAGCATAAAAAATGCTGGCTTCATTTTCATGGTAGAAATATGCGGCTTCTTTTCGTGTACGATTTCTACAGCTTTAATATATCATTGTTGAGCTAAGTTTTGTACGGAGAAACTGGAAAATGCTCGCAGAAAATTGCTAAAATTTGGGTGTCTGGAAATAGTCGCGAATAGCGAATAGGGAATAGTCCCGGATAGTGTGAATAGTCTCGAATAGTGCAAATAGTGGCGAACAGTCGCGAAAAGTGGCGAATAGTGATGAATAGTTGTCAATAGCCACCGCTTTAGATCTAATATCCAGCGTTAATTAATTATCCAAATAAGCAACAGAATTTCAGTGAATTTATTACCTTTTCTTCTCCGGACTCAGGCTAGTAGGCTGTCCATTGCTGACATTAAGAAAACAGAATACAGAAGGATAACCTAATAAAGACATATTTACGCTTTTGCAGTGGTTAAAACAGAAGAAATTAGGTTTAGAAACACCTTTTGTCCTGATAAGCGTCTGGGCTTTTTAGCGGAAAAATCCCATCATGAGTTGCTATGAGGTTGACTGCGAGATACTGGGTACTCTATTTGTTTCTATTTTCCACTATTTGCTACTATTTGCTACTATTCGCCACTATTCGTCACTATTCGAGACTGTTTGCCACTATTCGCACTATTCGTACTATTCACTATTCTCTATTCGGGACTATTCACTGTTCGCTATTCGCTATTCGCTATTCGGGTTTTCCAGACACCCCTAAAATTTTAAGAAATAAACACAGCGTTTTTGTGCCCAACGTGGCTATTTTTAATCCTGGAAAGAAATTTGATCGGGGCAGATTTTGATCACGTGCTAGGCAACCACTTGTGAGCCATGAGTGCGCGTCACGTAATCAACAAAAATATGCTATAAATTGTAATTTTTGTCAAGCTTCATCTACTTGAACACTTTATTACCCTCGAGCCCTGTTTGCATTGTACAGTTCACCTGGATAGTAAAATTCGTTCTCAGAATGTTCACTTTCATCACTCATTTTGAAGAGAACAAAATTTTGCAGCGACAAAATTGTTTTGTCATTAACTCGCATCGAGTTTCTAGTAGGGCCGTACGCATTTCTTGTACGGCCGTACGCATTTTTCTGGCCCTATCACTTCGACGCATACGGCCCTAATACGGGACTTTTTTCCTTATAGTTTTCCAAGGAAATTTTTACGGGGCTGTACGGGTCATATGATAATTTATTTTATTGTGAGGCTCATTGCCATTTGCCTTTGTCAACCTGTTGGAACTCCTTGTTGACCCAGGCTTTCCTGGAACAAGCCCTGAATGTCCAATGTCCAACCTGCAGTTTTACACAATGGTGAAAACTTAAAATGTTTTCTTAGTTAGCATTTACAACCAAGTGAACCACGACTCTGTAAAAACTTCCTGTTCTTTCGTTATGTTAAAATTAGAATGGTAGTTTTTCTACACTGCGCAAATGTGTCTAAGGTTACATTATGGTACTGGAGCTTATTGTGGTGTCTGTAGTTATCTGTGTTATTGGATGGTTTTAAATGACCAGAATTACTGTACAGCTTCTGAAATTCTTCACTCTGCTTTCTACCAGGGAAATTAGAGATACCTGTAAGTGCTAGCCAGTGATGGGTCACTAGGCTTGAACACAGACCTTACCCATTCATAACGTAAATTAAAGTACTTTCTTTCAACAGGGTGGACTGCAGTTCCACATTAGTTTGACTGAAGCGTTGTCTGAAGATGACAAATCAGGAAGTGCGCACTTCGATGGTATAGGTGATGTCTTTTTGGAGAGATTAAACTGCTATACCCTTGCTGGGATTATTCCTGGTAGGTTTAATACATGTAGGTACATGTATGCATCTTGACTACAAGTGAGCTTTTTAATATTATAGATTTAGCTGAGCCTAAAAACGGAGCTCCAGGGCAGTGGTTGTTCAAAGCTCGATTAAGCTAAGAAATTTGATTTGAGTTTTGTAACTTTGTGGTGAGGTATTCTGTTTATATTGTTTGGCCTTCTCTTTTAAGTTTGAATAACCTGAAAGTACAGAAAACATGAGCAATGAAAAACATTTTTGTACAAGATAAATTTATACTTTTGTCAACTTTAATCCTTGGTTAGCATTTACTGGCTTCAGAAAACCCAACCCTGATTACAACAAGTTAACCTTGCTTGAGCCCATGATCCAGTTGAAACCGAGTACTTGGTCAGCAGTCAACTTAAAAAATGTGACCTTGATGGGCTCTAAATTTGAGTCTGCAATATGGTCACATGATATTGGTCAGCAGATATCTTGTTTTGACTGGTGTCAATTGACCATAAAATTGATGTCCAATATTAAAGTTGTATGCTGTAAACTAAGGCTACATGACTTGCGATGTCCTTGATGTTGTCATCCTCGTCATCCTCTTAGGGTGCTTGTGCCTGCAATCCATGCCGCTAGTAATGTTGATCATGAAAAAAGAGTTGTGTGGTTTTATATTTCTATACACGCATGTGGTTCTGTTCCTATAGTTATGATGCTCCACTTGACGGCCCTTCGGGCTGCCGGAGCTCTGTGATAAATATGCACTACAGTCGAACCTTGATTATCCGTACCTCGATTATTCGGATTTCTCGATTATCTGGACTTTTTCTCTAGTTCCAATTTTGTCATGAATATTTATTAGTCATGATCAAGATCCGTAACAATATTCTTTTCAAAACTTAAGCATTGATAAAAAGTGCAGTCAAAAGCGAGTTTGTTTTGCTTTTTTAAAAGAAACACGTCAAATCGGCTTTGGACCTGCCTTTACCAACAAATAAGGTTAGAACATTTCAAAATTATCAGCTCTGTGTCTATTTCAACTTAACATAGGTCAAGTCATGTGGCGC